GTATCATTTTGTAAATAATTCTATAATCAAGAATTTAGTAATAAATAAGCTAAAATTGAAATAATCCGTGGTCATCCTTAGTGAGTAGTCTTTAAAAACGAACCAAGAGACAAAAGGTCTCACACACTGTATTTTTTTTAATAATGACATGATTTGCACGAGTTTATATGCGATACACTTATATTTAAGCATACATGTAACGGGGTTTTATTTAGGAGATTTTTTATATACTTCCTATTTGTATATATTTTTAACGTATTGCATTTACAGTGTTAACCCATTAATACAGGAGCTTAAACAAGTTGCAGGTTGCATAAAAACAATAAAGCTGTATAGTACCACCTGATAATAATTATTTTGCATAGAATCTTACAGTGCTTCGAATAATATTGCCTGGGAGTGCATTTTACAATCAGCATCATTTTTTAAATTATTATTTTTTTTAAAAAGAAGTAGTTGTAAATAAAATTAAGCTTAGCATAAAATGGACATAAAAAGCTTTTCATACATTTAAAGAATTTGAAGAGATGCTCTTTATCGGGCCTTGACTGTCAGATATAAAGACACCAAACTGTGATTGGAAAAATTACTATATGAAACTACAACTGTAAAAAAATTAGTCATTCGTTCACCTTACATACAGGGGTCCTCAACCCTATGCCCGCGGGCACCATGGCGCCCGTCGATCGATCTAGGTGCTCCCGCTGCTCAACGATAACATATTTCAGTTTTCCATTTTCCCAATAAATGCTATGCAAATACATACTGAAGTACGCTGGATAGATTTCTACATTTAATAGACTGAATAGATTTCTACATTTAATTGGAGAAATAAAAAATTATCTTGCAACCAAAAATCAAACATTTTTAGAACTAAGAGATCCTCTTTGGCTAGCAGATTTGTCTTTCATAACGGACATAAGGGAAAAACTAAATTATTTAAACTTGGAGCTGCAGGGAAAGGACTATCATAAAGCGAAAATGATAGAGGCTGTTAACTCGTTCAGAGCTAAGCTAGTTTTGTGGATATCACATTTGAAAATGAAGTCTCTTTTGCATTTTCCAAACATGAAAAAATGGATAGGTGACAGTGAAATTGACATTTGTCATTAACCTCCAATTGCTTAAAGATCAATTTAATAGCAACAATTTAATATCATCGAGCCTTTGATAACTTTTTTGTTACTCCTCTTACCAACCAAATAAACGTAATAGCAACATACATTTCAGAATTTCTTCAAGTAAGGCTAGAAGAATTGGATACATAAATTTTGGATCTCCATTGGATGACATTATCCTCAAAACTATTATATCACATGAGAAATTCTGGAATATATTTGAAGGACTAAATTCCATTCTTAAAAAGAGCATTATATTCTCCCAATTATGTAGCGCTGGTCAGCAAAATGCCATGCGAAACACCACATGCCACTGTATTTTATAAATAATTTTTATACTTCGCATGTTTTGAAAGAAATTTAGTAATAATTTATTTTACACAAAAATATTAATTGCATTCATATGTTAAATTAATTTTTGAAGTTTAATTTTTTGTGCACTATATGTAGTGTGTATTATTACCTATGTCTACCAACTATAAATTTATCTTGAAAAAATGAATGGTGACCGCCATTCGACCGATATTCTGGTATTTGCTCTTAGGTACAAAAAGGTTGGGGACCACTGCCTTACACTATACTTTCCTATTTACAATTTAAAAGAATTGTTTCTCTTACAAAAGCGTTCTTTTACAGAAGGAGAGTTCGCGTGGATGAAAGATCCTATATGAAGATCAGCAACAGTCTGTTTTTTCACAAAAAATAACGAGGATTTCTAAGTTCGACAATTTTATGACGTGGGTGGGTTTGCTGCTGTGGTTTTTTCTTCGCTTTCTTAAGACAAATGGCTTTTCCCTTATGATCTCCAGTTTAGTGGATTATTTACTATTTAATTAACTGAGCCACGATGGCTCTGGGGCCTTCTAATGACGTGGATCGGGGTTAAATCAATACGAATTCCGGCTTGCACCGACCACAGTGCTGACGTAAAATGTCCTCAGTGGTAGACGAATCCTAGTTAGAATCCCTTTTCCGTCAGGCTAACCGTGGGAGGTTTTCCTCCCCATGTAACGTGGGTTAGTTCCACCTAAAAGTCCTCCATGAAGGCAAATTTCTACCAACTCGTGATTTTTTCTCGCAACAATTTTTTTATATTAGCGTATGAATAAATTATATTTGAGAGGTGCTTCCATCATGGTTTTACTTAAATAGTGGCACCAAAGGGTTGTGTGGGAAATTATTTCTTTCAAGTAAGTAGGCAAAATAGGAACTTCTTCTAATTAATCACAAAATGTCATCGCTGCTAAAGCATGATCCCACAGTTGCCTAAGAGTAAAACAGGGGAGAGTGGGGTCAATTGTAACAGGGTACGATTGTAACAGAGCAAAAATTTCGAGTGTCGGGTTCTAGATTTGGTTCCTAGGTGGCGCGTAAGGTGTATTTAATAAATCAACATGTACACCCCAGCTGGCAACCATTTTTATGTACTTTTGAAAGAGTTACGTCACAAAATATATTTTCACGCTGCGTAAGTACTTTTTTTCGTATTAGAATATTATATTGTAACAAAGTAATTTTGTTTAAACAAATAAAAAATATTAACCGAATATGTAAGTGGACCCCTTAATTAACATTTCAAAAAAAAAAAAGTTTAGTTTTGTTTATTAACTAGCAATGTTTTTAACAAATGAAGCTGAAATGGCGTCTTGGGGACGATTTTAACAATAAGTAAAGGGACGATTGTAATAGCTGAAAATAAATAATCTTATGTTCACAAACCATTACTTAACTCTTTAAGAACCACCAATAGTTTCCTATATCATTTATATTATGTTGCATGTGCATTATTTCATTTGTCACCTTTCACAGCATAAATTAAAATTTGTAACCCTTTAAAGTTAAAAGTTTAACCCATTAGGTCTCTGTTCATTATTATTTTTACTCCTAAAATATCACTACTATTTTGATCAGTAAAAAAATGTATCACAACTATGATAATATTTATAATTAACTATATTTTAGTTGAATTTATGAACTGTTACAATTGACCCCGTAAGTGGGGATAATTGTAACAAGTGCGCGACTGTCAAAAATTGTTAATAACTAATATAATAACATTTAAAATAAGGTATTTATTTTTTTTTCTAGTAGAGGATAGTCTACTTTATTCGTCTGTCAATTAATACTAATAATATATTAGGTTTTTTGTTAGTTAAAAATAGTTAAGTAAAAAATTTTACAATTGACCCCACTCTCCCCTACCGTTGTAGGGAAATATTTGAAATGGGAAGATTACTTTTTGTTGTCTCATTGATGTTTCAAAGTGCTTCTTTCAAACTTAATGCTTCTTATGACCTTTATAAGTTAACTAAATTAAATATGAAAAATATATATATATATATATCATTTTTTATTTATTTATTCGAAGGTCTTGATTCTGGAAGAATTGTGTGTTACAAAAGTATTATCAGGTTAATAGGGTTGCTACTCCACAGGGAAAATTTAAAAAATACAGGGAATATAAAAATTACCTGAAATAACTGGAAAAATTCTGGGAATTTTTGATTTTTTGTTCTTTACAAACTGGGAATATACAGGGAATTTTGTCTCTTAAAAAATGGTGACTACTCAAAGGGATGGGATATTTAACCATGACATTTCAGTTATATTAAACTATTTAATTTATTATAGCATTATTTAAATATGTTCCAGCAATGAAAACTAATAAATATAATTATCCCAATATAGCTGACACAAGATCACAGTAATTGTTGTTTCCACTTAATATATTGTGTATAATATGTATAGGGAAATTTTTTTTCAAGATTTAAGTGGCAACCCTGGTTGCGGTAAACAATTGGAGCTAATATTTGTATTGTGGGTGAAAATTAAAGTTTCTTCCTACCGCGCGACATCTTTTAGGGAAGTTTCGTTAAGTATTTCCATTATTTTCCTTCATTCTTCACCTTGTTTATTATTATTTAATAAATTACAGTTACAGCCATTGTGGCTCACGGGAAAGAGAGCTTGCCTTCCACTGAGGTGATCCGGGTTTGAATCCCGCACCCGACTCGCACCGACCACAGTGCTGACGAAAAATGTCCTCAGTGTTAAACGGATCAAGGGTTTGAGTTCCCATGCTTCTTTTAGCGTCTTTTACAGACAACCAATCATCATTGTGAATATAACGAGTTAATCTTCATATTTTTTGAATTTTTAACTCAACCCAAAAATCGCAATTTAAGTATCAGTGTAAAACAATATTTATAAAAGTTATAAAAATAATTTATTCTAACCAAGATTAAATTAAAATTATCAAATTTATCATTACGCGCAAAGAAAAGCGAGGGAAATGTTTTTCACATTTCTTGGCGGTTATAGTGTTTCAACTAAATGTTCGTCATTATCTAAAAATTACTTTTTACAAGCAACCACTTTTTTATTATTAATCAGGCCGAGCTCGTTGCTCAGAAGATTAAGAGTCCCCTTGCTGTCTGGCTAACTGAGAAATCTTATCTTGGTTTTCCTCCCTATGTAACTCAAATGCTGGTAGGTTCAATAAAAAAAAAACCTCCACGAAGGCCAAATTTCTCTCAATATTTGATGTAAGGGTTCCCTTGTCTTCTGGATTGGGTTCAAAATTACAATGCTATGGAGTTAAATATTAGTAGTCGTAAACCCAAATGGATTGGTTGTTCAACTATGTTTATAATATTTAATTAACTAATTCTAAGAGAAATAATTTTATAATAACTTGTAAATTTTATTCAAGTGCAAGTGGAAAGCAACATGTGGTTGCATCAGAACATGTAACAAATGAATAAAATTTACTTAATTTCTATATGCAATATGATTAATTTTCGTTTTTTTTTTCAGTAGTGAAAAATAATTCATTTAAAAAATATACATAATTTTCTAATAAAAATTAAATTTAATTTTCAGAAGAGGGGCGTTAGGCGCTTTGAAAATGTGGGTCAAGCAGGCCCATCACAAATGAAGTAAGTAGTTATTTATAATTAGTATTATTATTATTGTAATATTTATAATTTATGTTTAATATTATATTTTATGTTTAATATTAAAAATATTTCAAAAATGATCATGCATATGTGGAAAAAAACCATTTTTGTATTATGTTTTGTTTCATTTTTTTTTTAAAATTTCAATATGAATGTTCAGTTTTATATCTGGTAATATTTAATTTCTTATTATTACTTTTGGAACTAACTTAATTGCGATTGAGTAAGAAAGATTGAGGCAAAGAAAAATTAATATTTTTACAACCATGGTCAATACTTAGAAGCAGAAAAAGAAATCAAGAAAAACATTTAAAATTCTGATAGTTTTCGCTCAAATTGCATTTTCGAAGATAACTGGCGTTAAGTAAAAAATTTAAAAATTGCTCTTTTAGCAACCCCTTAGTTTCACTTCAGTGATCAGCAGATCGACTAACATGGTATTTTTTGCTACCATAATTAATAATTCTCCCACAAATAATCGTTTTTTTTTCTGTCTGATTTGATTTGTAAATTTTTCTACGCTTCATATAATTTCAAGAGGAGTCATATTCTTGCCATTTCAGTGGAAGAAAATTCATTTAAACTTCAGAAATAGTCGTCAGGCTGATATTCCTCGTCAGTTTGATGAATCACTTGAAATGTCACTTTAGTCAATAGAAAAAGAAAGCGAGATAGAAAAGTTGAGACAATATTTTTTTTTTTTTTTTTTTATCTTTAGCGCTATACATAAAGCATACAACAGGGAACGGCTTATTTCTTCTGTTGTGTTGACATTTTTTAAAAAAAAAACTTAATATAAATGCACAGTTTTATATCTGGTAATATTTCATTATTTTTGGAATCAACTTAATTGCTGGCTGTTATGTAAGAGAGAAATCGAGACTAAGAAAAAAAAAATTACAACAATGGATAGTCAATACTTAAAAATAAATCACAAAAAAAGTATTTAAAATTTTTTATTATTTTCGTACAAATTGCATGTTCGGAAATAACTCGCTTTAAGTTAAAAAATAAAAATTCAAATCATAATTTTTTCTTTTGCCTTTCACCGTGTTTTCACTACAGCGCGAGAACGCGAGAATCTCGCATATTTTTTTCTTTTCTCGCATTAAAAATTATTACCGCGAGAAATTCGCGCATTCTATAAATCAATTTCAAAATTCGCGAATTTCTCTCATTTTGGAAAAAGCTTCGAATTACGTCATTTAGAATAAAATCCGTTTCACTTTTCTTCCTGGATCTTCATTATTTTCAACACTTGCCCCGTTATCTAGCTTCCCTATTTACCAGTAGGTATTGTTCAGAACCTTTTCGAACAATAGAACACAACCCCTCCGAATCACGGAACCCCTTCCAGAACACATTTCTCTGCAATCACGTGTTTACTGTAGGTATGGTTTTTCATGTAAGACGTTCAAATATTTTTATGCACTAATGTAAGATGGACAAATACCTAGTAAAGGCAAAATCTTCTATGATGATGCAGCAAAAATATTCAATGCTTTAAAAAATAGAAGACGTTAAAAATGTATTATAACAAAAGAAATTTTTTTTCCAAGTCTATTTGTATTTTTTCAGTTTTTAGAAATCTCACTTAACTTTCTGAAATCTCACCCTGTTTTTGAGAAAGGGTGAGAAATTCTCACTCATTTTTTTTCTATGATGAAAACACTTGGCAAGTGACATTTAGAAATAATCTTTATTAATAATAATTCCAAAATAATTCCAAAATCGCTTTAAACTGTTACTGATCTCTACCTTCATCAAGATAAAAGAGTTTCAATTGTTCTTTAATACCTTTCATTTAAAGATGTCTAGATATTGTAACAGGTTTAGTCCTTGTTAGTATTATTTATGCATATAAATCTGTGCAAATAAATGTGTTGTGTTTATTTTATTACAAACTGAAGACTGAAATTTTATGCGTTCTGAAACTTCATGGGCACTTTTAAAGGTACTCTACTGATTGGTATGCACGATTTTTAAATTAATATTTTTGTTCTTTCAGCGAGCCGCTTCTCCCAACTTGTTCATGCTGTTCATCTGGAAGCCGCAAAAGGCGTTATTCATCGAGCGATGATTCCTCACCCTCTGACGAGGTGAGTTTTCTTTTCTTGTTCTTAGAGTTGTCTTTATTTGTTAGGAAATTGCGAAGGTGTCTCTTCAAGCATGCTGTTTGCATAGTGGTCCTAGAAATTTTGTCATTGAAATACATCTTGCAAAAAGACCAAGAGCTGTTTGTTACAGAAACTAAACGGATATTAAATTAGATAATAATTCTCTCATTAGAGTTCAGGAAAGCATATCCCAAATTTGTTAATGAACATTTGATGAATTAATTGAATTATTGAAATTCAATTTTTTTTTAACTGTCGCAATTTTATTCCATGAAAGCTTCCATTCTCATTATCAAAACTTATTTTCCCCATCTTGTTGACGGAGACTGGTTAATTACTAGTCAAGAAATTTTTTTTTTAAAAACGCTAAATTGTCCCATTTTTACATAAAAATTCTTGCAAATATTATTAAACTGATTCGTCCAATGAATCATGTTTAACCTCAATTCTAATGAGAGCACAACTGCACACAGAGTACAATACTTCACTTATCTAAATAGATATGTCAGATGCATTTGTTATAAGTGCAAAATTATACTTTTCTTTAATAAAACCACTCACTATCAGAATGGTACTTGAATTGAGTTTAGATATTTTTATTTTCTGTTTAAATCCTTTTTTTTTTCTGCACTAAAAAGCAAAATAATTATGGGAACTTTTAATGGTTTGAGGAATTTTAAAAGAAAGAGTTGTAGCGGTATCTCTTGTATTTCCGAGATGGCTTAAAAATTATCTCTTCCTTTAATTTGAATGAAACTTCCTTTAAGCCTCATATAACTCAGAATGCAATTTGATATAAAATAATAATAATTATAATAATAACAAATGATTTGCGTTTAATTACCTCAAAGACTCTTTAGGCAGGGGTCTGTCCAGACATTTGGTGAAAGGTCCGTTTTTCGTGAAATTGTGAAAAAATTACTCACATTCTTTCAACCAGGGTCCGCTTTTATGAATTTGTGCAAATAGGGACCGTTATTGCAAAAAAAAAATTTTTTCAAGGAGTTTTTAAATTGTATAGACATACAAGATTATGCACAACAATGTAAAATTGTAATTAAAAAAATTAAATTTTAAAAAATAAACAACAATTGCTCCTTCTAAATTAGAGATGCAACATACAAATATTTGGTATTTAGCCTATACTGCTGAACGCAGAATATTAATTTCGGACGAATAATGGAAGAATCGTCTGCCGAAGACAAAACTTAATTCGTTTACATCCATCTTTCTTGTTTTCTGCCCTGGAAAGGGTTTATTCGATTAACAAAATAATAATGAAGATAAACAAATTTGTGAAGGGTCCGATTAAAAGAAAAATCATTTTGTGAAGGGTCCGTTTTTAAGTTAAAATATTTTGTGAAGGGTCCGTTTTTATGAAAAGATATTTTGTGAAGGGTCCGTTAACGGACCCAAATTTCTTCTAAACAGACCCCTGCTTTAAGCTTCATATAACTCAGAATACAATTTGATATAAAATAATAATAATTATAATAATAACAAATGATCTGCGTTTAATTACCTCAAAGACTCTTTAGGGCTCTCAATTTACCTACCTAAATACACTTGAAATCATGAAAACTGACGCTCAGCATAAAAAGGTTTTTTAACATTTAATGTTTTTAAATTGAATAAAGGTTTTAATAGGAAAAACTAATTGAAAGATAACAAACACTTTTCTATGTATAAGTAAGTCTTCAGAGAAAATTCTATGACATTTCTGCAAATTTGAAGCCAAAATTTAGTTATTAGATATATTTTAAACTTTGTTTTGGTTTCTTTGTGTAGTTTAAGTTGCTTGGTTTTAAGTGTGCTGAATTTGTTTTTATTTTCAACGAAATAGGGGATGAATGCAATTTTGGTAGTTTATGATATACAGGGGTCTGTTCAGACATTTTGTGAAGGGTCCGTTTTTGTAAAATTGTGAAAAAATGACTCACAATTTGTGAATATAAAATAAACGTTGAGTCACATTCTTTCAACCGCTTTTGTGAATTTGTGCAAATAGGGTCCGTTATTGTAAAAAAAAAAAACTTTTTCAAGGTAAACAGCAAGGTTTAAAAAGTAAACAGCAATTGCAAGTACTAAATTAGCGGTGCAACATACAAATCTTTGGTATTTAGCCTATACTGCTGAACGCAAAATATTTATTTCGGACAAAAATAAAGGAAGAAGCGTCTGCTGAAGACAAAATTTAGTGCGTTTACATCCGTCTTTCTCCCCTTCCTTTCTGGGAGGGATTTATTTGATTAACAAAACAATAATGAAAATAAACATATGTTCGGTTTTTTTTCCAAATCAGCTTTCATGTACATAAACCATTCTTCCCCTTGATTCAGGGTTGGGTTTTTGCCGTCAAAAACTGGTTTTTGACATGACAGTGGTAAAAACCAAACCGTCAAAAACATACTGTTTTCTTTAATTTATGGCATATAGCGGACAATATGTTATTTTCACTTAATTGCCTTTATAAATGAATGTTGTAAATGATTGCTATTGATTTTGCAACTATATACATGTATTCTTATAGAAGGATATACATTCATACAGAAATATTGTAACATACTTATTGAAAATAGCGATACCTAACTTTTATCATTATAGCTTGATTTGCAAAGGATTCAAAATTTTGCACATCTTAATTGTTAGAAATAAACAAATAAAACTTGAAACTATTAATAAATTCAAGAACTAAAAAGAAGAATTTAAAATTTGGCATTTCTTAAATATTAGAAATAAGCTAAACAAAACTTTCAAAACTTGTAACTACTAACAAATTCTAAGTCACGAATGACTAGACATTCTTCAGTAATGTATTATGCCAAACAAAATGATGCTTGGAAATGTTGAAAATTTTATTTAGTATCCTAATATTTTACTTCAAATAGTATGATTTGATATAATCATGTTGGGAAAATGCAAAAATCTGTTCTTAAATATTTTTTAGCAACTTTTTTTCTAATTTTATTGCTCAAAAATGAATTAATTTTAAATCATAAGCAGTTGAACTCAAATTAAAATACAGTTTTAACAAAACTATGGGTTTTTGACAGTTTTCGACGTTTTTGACAGAGGGTTTTTTGACATGGCGGTAAAAACCATGGTATAAACCGGTAAAAACCGTCATGTGTCAAAAACTTGCCAACCCTGATACAGATGCATTGATTACTATCTAATTAACTGTCAAAAATAATTTTATTCAAGAGCACGCGAATAGCAATATAGTGCAACAACTACTTAATTTCTCGAGAAAGCAATGTGTCTTTTTCAGCAGTGAAAAATAATAATCTATTTATAATAATTTTCTAACATAAATTCAATTTAATTTTCAGGAGAGTAGAGTGAAGCGCGCTAGGAGAAAATATGAAGAGCTGTAAGTAGATTTATTATTAATATTTTAATGCTGGAAACTTAGAAATATTCTCAAATAAACTCTTTTCAACAGACATAAATCTTTGTTTTTAATGCTGAGTACATTTCAAAAGTCTATAAAGTGTGATAAGTTAATATTTTTATTTTTAGACTTATATTTTTTGGAGTTCAGGAGTCATTGTCATATTTGAATCTTTAAATCTTAATATTTTGTATTAAATTAGATCGTTTTGACATTTCATACTTATTGAGAGTTGGTTCAATTTTATTAGGTTTATAATACAATGTACTCGAGCATGATATTTCATTTATTATTGAAATGTCAAAACATGCATTTTAACAAAACATGATGTTTTCAGGGGCGCGTTCGGTGTCCACATGGCGATTATGCAACGGAGACATTGGGGCAGTGTACAAAGGTCTGCCATTCTAGAAGCTATACAACAAGAAAGGTCAAGGCTGGAGGTAATTTTTTTTCTCTTCTTAAACGGATGCGCCCTACCGAATGAGCCATTGAAAACGTTGCATAGATATTAAATTTAATTAGTAAATTAAGTCATTTGGATTCATTTGATTGGTATCTTTAACTCAGCCAAAATTTTAAATCAATTTGGATCTATAAACACCTTATCAAATAGAATATAAAGCTATCCTTCCTGCACAAAATGATTTTTCAGAAACTTTCGACATCAATATGGGTGTTGGATAGATAGCATTATAGCCTCTAATTTTCAATTTAGTACTTGAATCCGCCATCAGGGGTCTGTTTAGAAGAAATTTGGGTCCGTTAACGGACCCTTCACAAAATATCTTTTCATAAAAACGGACCCTTCACAAAATATTTTAACTTAAAAACGGACCCTTCACAAAATAATTTTTCTTTTAATCGGACACTTCACAAATTTGTTTATCTTCATTATTATTTTGTTAATCGAATAAACCCTTTCCAGGGCAGAAAACAAGAAAGGTGTATGTAAACGAATTAAGTTTTGTCTTCGGCAGACGATTCTTCCATTATTTGTCCGAAATGAATATTCTGCGTTCAGCAGTATAGGCTAAATACCAAATATTTGTATGTTGCATCTCTAATTTAGAAGCAGAAATTGTTGTTTATTTTTTAAAATTTAATATTTTTAATTATAATTTTACAGTGTTGAGCATAATCTTGTATGTCTTTACAATTTAAAAACTCCTTGAAAAAGTTTTTTTTTGCAATAACGGACCCTATTTGCACAAATTCATAAAAGCGAACCCTGGTTGAAAGAATGTGAATAATTTTTTCACAATTTCACGAAAAACGGACCTTTCACAAAATGTCTGGACAGACCCCTGGCCATAAAGAAATCAGATTTCAGAGACTCCAATGAGTGCTTTTGCTGATGATACAGTACTTGAATCCGTCATTTAGAAAATTAGCGGCTTAACTACCAGTAAAACAACTCGTAGTTTGTGCCTCTGCTGATGACATAACTATACTGCGAAAATTTTAAATGATTTAATTGCATTTACAAAAACTAATAGAAGTAGCAAGCATAACCGGCCTTTTACTTAATGAACAAAAAATAATATATATGAAGGCGCCGGGATAGCCTGGTCGGTAGGGCGCTGGGCCCATATCCAAGAGGTCGTGGGTTCGATCCTCGCCGGCCGAAGACTCCCCGTGTAGTAAATGGTGACTGATGCACGTTAAATCTGTCGAGTCTCAAAGTCCTCCATGTTCCCACAACAAATCAATACCTCTGGGGGTACTGATCCAGGAGTTTCCTTGTCCTCTGGATTGGTTCAAAATTACAAGGCTACGGAGTTGAACGTAAGTAGTCGTAAACCCATGAAATTGGGTCGGCTGTTCAACGACGGTTATAAAATAAAATAAAATATATATGAAGAAAAAAACTAATATTACTAAGAACTATAGTGAATTTCTTAATGTTGATAAATTTAAATGTGCTACCGTGGATAGCTTTGCATATCTAGGCTCAATTATAAACACTTCAAATACAATTTCAGAAGAAATTTCTTAAAATTCGGAAAGGGGACCAAAGCGTTTTTTTTAACAGCATACGTAAAAAAGAAATAAAATTGATCCTAAGAGCAATTAAACTAAACATATACGTAATAATCATCCTTCCCGTGGTAACATGGCTGCGAGATGTGGACTGTGATACAAAAAGACTTATTAAAGCAAAATATACTTAAAATGAAAGTAAAATTTATGGCCCAATACAATTACAGCTAACTATTAATTATTAATGGATAAGAACTAATGATGAGCTGGAAGCTCTTATTAAGCATAGAAATATTGTAAAATTCACCAAAGCACCGAGTATTTCATGTCACATTGACAGATTACCTCGAGTGGTAAAGATCTTGCATTGCAATAGGGCGAGATGCAGACTAAAGAAAAGGTGGATGGATGGTGGGTGTCTGGAATGGTTTAAGGATCTCCAATTGGAAGACCAAATTCAGGGAAAGAGCTGCCTGGCGAATTGTTGTGCGACAGGCTAAGGCACACCCTGGGCTGTAGTGCCAATAAAGAAGTTTTTCTAGTTAAAATACACCCTAAAAAAAGGAGTTTTTAAGTTAACAATAAACGTTCCTTACTGGTCAAATGACCGTTCAAGAACTTTGGCATCAAAAATGCTCTTATCTTATCGTTTTTGCATGTTTGACTTCATGACTTTTTCTAACAAAATCTTTCTTTTTTATATAAAGTTAATAATTTATAATTATTATTTTTTTTTATGTTTTGCTTGTTTCGAATAATACTTGTACCTATTTCCTATTTCTTGTACCTATTTCCTATACCTATTTCTACCACAACCGGTCATTTGAGCGGGAGAACAAAAATGACGATGCAATGCGTGTTCAACGTGTTGCATTCGATGAGTTGCACATTTACTGCAAAGAGTGTTACTTAATTAGTTCAATCAGAATAACTGTAAAATAAAATTTCTAGAAAGTACCTAAAATTTTAGATTGGCATTTTTGTGTCAGAAAAAGTGACAAAAACTAAATGTTTTGGTAAGTAGCTTCATTTTATATTGATAGCTTTACTTCATTTCTAACTAACTGTTTTTCCAGAAAAATGTCGAAACAATCTTAAACAGCACAAGTTCTTAGAAGAAATAATATTAATTATAAGGATAATTATATCAGAATTATGTTTCTTATATATTCTTATAAAATTGAATTGTAAAATTATAATTAAATAAAATTAAATATTAAAAAATAAACAGCAATTGCAGTTCTAAATTAGCGATGCAACATATAAATCTTTGGTATTTAGCCTATACTGCTGAACGCAGAATATTCATTTCGGACGAATAAAGGAAGAATCGTCTGCCGAAGACAAAATTTAGTTCGTTTACATTTGTCTTTCTCCCCCCCCCCCTCCCTTCCTGGGAAGGGTTTATTCGATTTACGAAACATTAATGAAGATAAACAAATTTGTGAAGGGTCCGATTAAAAGATAAAAACGGACCCTTCACAAAATAATTTAAGTCAAAATATTTGGTGAGGGGTCCGTTTTTATGATAAGATATTTTGTGAAGGGTCCGTTAACGGACCCACTCCTGACAATAGTGCGAAACTCATCTAACCGAAGATCCATGTTAAATTTTCTTAATTATGTTTTGCTTTTTTATTCATGAAATAATAATTTTGAATTGTGAGGCATACGTATTTTTCTGCCATTTTAATCTAAGTAAATTTAATTGACAAAATTCAAATAACTAAATGAACAAAGTTGACTTGTTCTCAAAAAGTGTTTTGAAAAATACTGCTGCTTTTAAATTTGATTAAGGCCCATAATTCCTCTGCTGAAATGTTTCGACTTTTTTTTTTCGTATTTTGTTACGTATTTGGAAAAAAAAAAATTCGCATTGAAAGGAATACAAGTATTTGCCCAATTTTAAACTGGCAAAAAGTGAACACAATGGGGGGGGGGATATTTCTTGAGATGATATTGATAAGCATTTTGACTTCTTTTGCGGATGATATCAACCGTTATCTATGAAAAGTTACCTCAACCTGGTATTGAGTTAATATGTATTTTATACCAGTGAATTGGAAATTGGTGGTAGACACGCTACAATACTCCCCCACCAGGATTTTACCTGCGATAGAATTCGATGAACAGATACTACTAGTTGATTCATTGAAAAGCCGGGAGAGCTGTATTAAGATCACAGGATTTTGATTGCTTATCGTGCGAGATCTATTAAGTTAACGACGGTCGTGATCGCTCCTGTGTTGCCATTAGCAGTCGAAGGTATACAGGCCGACGTTGTGTGCTATTTAGATTGAGTATCAAGAGTTAACGCGTCTTAGTGAATTGTAATTAAATAATTGTAGTAATATAAGCACCACTATATATACAGCTTTTATGTATTTTCTTAAAAAAAAATTTTTTTTAGGCTGACCTTCAGGAACCTGGTCCTTCAAACAGGAACAGAGACCAAGAACCGGACTCTCCCGATAGGCCAGCATCTCTTGTAAGTATCATAAACCACTTACCTAGTGCCTTTTATACTACTTCATTTAACTCTTTAATTCCTAATAAAAATTCTTTTTTATGAGAATTAATTATTGTTGCTTCTATTACTTTCGAAAACAAAAAGTAATTAACCGTGACTACGCATTATACAACAGTTCTCTCATCTATGCTAAATATAGTTTAGTATTTATTATATTGAATTGTGGCATCCTACGTTGATAAATTGTTGCATTATTTTTAATTTATACAATATTAACAAAATTGCAGCAATTACCATAAATTAATTCATAGGTGAATATACCAAATAAGCATTGTTTATTTTCCATTTTTTGAAATTTATTTCGAGATCGAAAAGTCTTATAGCTACGAGCGCCGTATTTAGACGGTTTCTACGCAATAGTCTGTGTATACGAGCGCCGTATTTAGCCAGGATTAGCAGTAACAAAAGTTTTCCATCAGTAAAAGTCACAAAAAAAAAAAGATTCCATCTGTTGTCTAAAGTTTCACCCTATAACTTGCCCAACAAGAAAGAAAATCGCACGTGGTAATTTATTTTTCTTCTGTTTGAGCTCGTGCTGTTTGAGCTATTTTCATTCCACTACTACTTTAGTTTTAGTTAGCTTTTAGAAAAGAATTCAAATATTTAGAAAAGGATTTATAAGCCATATTTATTATTTACTATTTACAGAACTTTTAATGTACATGTATGTTAATCTAATATTTAAATAGAGTGTTTAATATATTAAAATAAGGCACAATGGCGACTGTTAAGAACGGGCATAATTTCTCGTTCTGATAAAAAAAAAAATGTGCTCAAAATTGATCAAAATATTTTTTAAAAAAACAGTGGAGATGAGATTGGTTAGAATGGAAAGTGGATGGTGTTTTCGTCCAAGAAGCTATCAGAAAATTAAACAAAAGTGGTGAAGCTCATTGCTTCGTCTTCTGTAATGAGATATCACATGACTCTAGATAATTTGCAGCATTTTCCTGGTCAGTAACTTCGGTATGTTATCAAATTCGATTAGGATTTAAAGGCAAGATAGATTTAAAAATGAAATAAAACTGTTGTGTTGAAAACAATGATTAGAGTGAAACATAGGCCCTTATTTTAATTCACATTCTGGGCCAGTTCTTTCAACACTTAATATTCAAAGTTTATTTTATCACTTTATTTTATTTCTCTTTAAAGAAGCACTTGATTGTATGGTAATCAGTTTGAATCTTTAAACAAAGATAAGTAGAATAGTATTTTTAAAGTGCATTATTAATAGATTTTGTCTTCTTTTTTTAAAATTGAAATAAGGGAACATAATTTTATAAATCTTCATCTACTCATATTTATGCTGCTTTTTTTTTTCTTTTCTTATTTTTTCACCTTTCCTTTTCACCCTATTTTATTTTTTTTTTATCTTAAGATTTTATCTAGTTGGAATAACATAAATTTTTAAGAAAACCAAACGACTACTGAGCATGATAAACAAAGGAATAAATCTGAAAAAAAAAAAAAGAAATCAGAAAGAAGCAACCACTTATGCAGGTTTTCAAACAAATTAGGGCGATGTGAACTTGGGAGTTTTCCTATTAACGGTGATCAAGGCGGAAAAAGAAATAAACACGTATTCTTAAAATTTTGTTTCCAATATCTCGTAATTTTTCCCAACAAGCTCAATATTTATTTGTTTATTGTACTTTTAACAAATATTATTTTGATTTAATCAAATATTTGATGATCAAATATTAATTTCATTACTTTGATTTTTCGCTACTAACTAAGTCTAATTTATCAACAAGTTTTCGTGGTATGTAAAAAGTCTTCGAAATTTTCGTGTCTCTTATATTTATTCGACTTAATATTGATTTAACAATTTTAAAAACAATTCAGGGACCGGCCACTCATTCTTCAAAACTGTTTGATCAAACGAATGAATTTTGTTTGTTTCAGAATTTTTGTTGATTATGAGCCTTTTTTTTTAAATGCTGACAACTCATAAATTTATTTATTAAAATTACTAAAACTTAAGAAATATTTATTTCTTACAAAAAAAATCTCTTTTGTTCTCTGTATCATTAGTATTAGCGTCTCTTATATTTATTTGATTTAATAATGATTTAACAATTAAAAAAAATTGTGTTGTCTTCCATTTAGTATTACCATCTCGAGAAATTAAGATATATCGTAATACAAAAAGTAATAGCCATTTTTAGGGTGGGAAAAGGCCAATTGTTTACTGAAAAGTTTTATCTGTAAACAATGGATTTTCATACATTTTTTGCTGTTGCGTGCAGGCTAATCCTCTTGGTAAAATGACAATTGTTTATAAACCACCCTATGAAAATTGAAGACGAAATGTCCCCCAGTTAATGAACCAGTACTTTAAGTATTTGAGTAAATCCATTACTTAAGCTGGATAAAGCATTAATAGGTTGTTTTTTTTTTAAAAAAACTATATTGTCTTTGGAATTCACTTATTAGGTCACCCTGGAGCATTTAATATCCTATTCAGTACTTGAGTACAATACTTATTAATGATAATTTTCTACTTCCTTAGGTTGACCCGTTGGAGGAAGAAGAAATGCCTGAGCGAGAAAATGTAAGTATTTCTAAAGTTGTTTTAAATTACTTTCTTTATTATTTTCGGTTCTGAAGCTTCACTGATAAAACAGTATTAAAGTGCTTTACACGGAGGGGGAATGAAATTTTACTGAGAACGGGCAGAATTTATTTCATGTCTTTTCTAATAACCAAATGCTATTTAAGGTTCGTTCATTTTTTTCAATCGAAATCTTTTTATTTCACAAATTTTTTCTTAAATTAATTCCCTTTTTTATTACATACAACACACCATAACACTGTTGTTGCCCGAATATTTCTGAATAACCTGTAAATCTATTTTTAGGAAGGGCACCATCAACAGCAGGAGTCAGATGCTTCAGGAACAGTAGAGGAGAGTGATGCAGGTGATGGTGTTGAGGATCATTCCACTTCATCTTCATCCCCACCTCCTGTACCCAAAACTCGAAGTAAGTTATTTTTTTGTTTATTTATTTTATTTTAAAGGCCATTCAGGGGTCTGTTTAGAAGAAATTTGGGTCCGTTAACGGACCCTTCACAAAATATCTTTTCATAAAAACGGACCCTTCACAAACTATTTTAACTTAAAAACGGACCCTTCACAAAATATTTTAACTTAAAAACGGACCCTTCACAAAATGATTTTTCTTTTAATCGGACCCTTCACAAATTTGTTTATCTTCATTATTATTTTGTTAATCGAATAAACCCTT